CTTTCATTAAAGGCTTTCTCTGAACCAGTAATGTAGCCTCAGGCCTGGAGTATCTTGTGTGGTTGCTTCCCTGTGTTTAGAAATATAAATACACTGGACTTGATAGCCTGATATAATTGGGTAAAGATCACTTTTGTAGGAGGTATTCAAGTGAGTCATTGCTATTTAAACTGTACTTTTATCTAAAAACTAAGTTTGGAGGGGAAAGGTTAGCTTGCGTGTACTGCCTTACATTTGATTTATAAGCTTGGAAAGGGAAATCATCTGATAATAAATATGTTTGCTTTAACTTTGCTTTTCTTGTTCACTGTTCACCAAGACGTTCTTGACGTCCCATGTTCTGAGCGGACGATTTCAAGCCTGCAGGTCCTACGCGGGTGGTGGCAATTGGCTTTTCTGCTCACTTGGACCCTGCTTGGCAGAGGCCGGCTAAGCCTGGAAGGAGAAGGGCTAAGGTAGCTGAAGTGAACATTGGTCTGATTGCAGCCTGATGGAAAACATTTTCCCCAGGAGCGTGAACAAGGAAGTGTGGATGAAATGTAGCTGGGGAGACTAGCACCTTTTTTTTTTTTTTTCTTCAAGCTTTTGTCCTGCCTAGGCTCTTAGAGCCCCTTGGAGAGCGTTATGCAGGCAACTGAATAGCCTTTATGCAGTCAGTGCTGCTTTGGGTGAAAAGTGTATTTTTGTTTGGATTTTAACCCCCACTGGCAGCTTGCCACAGAGAAGAGTGAAGAAAAGGGCCTGTAGTTGAGTAATAATAAACCCCATTCATCCTTGTTGTAAATAGACCAATCTGTATCAGTTTATGCTTGAAGTGAATCTGACCTGGTACCTTGCTGTAAATATTAAGTTTGTGCTCAACAAAATAAGTCGGTATGAGCTATAAATGTTTCTAGGTTGCTGTATGTACAGGAGATTTGGGGCAGAGCACATCCCATTGCCTCTGCTCAGATGAGATCTTGTATGATTTTAGCTTAAACTGATTTTGCTTAAAAACAAGGATAGCTGTAAGTGGTTTGAGGAATAAAGGGGCATTATAAGTTAGCTCAGAACAGTCTTGCAAAGAAGTAATATTATTGTTTTGCTGACTATGTTGTAATATCGAGAAAAGACAGTTGGCTAGGCAAAATAACGTTTGCTAAGTGTTAGCCTAAATCATAAGAGCTTAATATACGTGTGCTAGGGTTCATAGTTCTGCAGCATACAGGTATTCCTGCCTGGTTTGGACTAAAATGGAGGAGTGATTTGAGGGAGCAAGATGAGTAAGCAGCAGAAATGAGTATTGACACAATGTACAAAAGAGAACAGCAGGTAAGTGATTAGGATACCCATGGATAAGGGTCGAAGAGGCACTTAAACCAGCAGAGTTTCCTCTGATGCACAGATTTCTGTGTATGTTCTGTGAACTCACAGATTTCTCATGGAATGTGAATTTGGCATAATTACCTCTCTGTGCCAATTCATCCTATGTAGAAAGAGATGAAAGTAGAATTCCCTCCATTTCAATTCTCCAAATCAGCAACTCTCCTTGAACCTTCTACAGTGGGGTTGTGTGGAGTTTGACATCATCTGAAACTGTTGCATAGCTTGTTGCGTGAGCCAAAGGAATCGAGCAGGTTGATGGATCTTGTCATCTGAACGCAGAATAACCTTATTGCTTCTGATGTGCAATAACCTTATTGCTTTTGACGGTGATATACGTGTGCATAGGACCCTGTGAATATTTCTGCTGCTCCTTGGTGAATTTACTTGTTTCCTTGAGTTTGCCATAACTACCTTGTAAGTAAACAATATTCTGCCTCAAATCTGTACAAAGTATGCTGTTGTTAATTTAGATTTTAAATTTTATGAACCTTTCCCTGTAATACAAAGCTCTTCAGAGAAAAAAGAATAACAACTAAATTATTTGTCTTTATCCCAAACAAGGTTTCAGCTGTATATTTTTTTTTCCAAACAAGATTGTTTTGTAAGAATGTTGGCCGTGCAAGATGTCTCTATCTCTGTGTAACCAAAATATAATTATTTTCCACCGCAGCACTATGCTGTGTATTTGTCTTGAAATTTAAAGTAATCCCACAAGGTAGGGTGCTTAACCTTCTTCTTTTGCAACGACATATATCAATATCCTAATGAAAGGTGTTAAGTTACTATGGGATATATGATAAGGAGCTTTCCTAGAGTAAAGAAAACTAAGCAAAGGAAAACACTTGTACTCTGAAAGTAGCAATTGACTTGAGTTTTGCTTCCTTTGTTCATTGTTTACTGAAAGCCAGCAGGAGAAATATTTTTTTTTCCAAAAAAAGTTAAGTTTACCCTTAGGTTCTCATAATTGTTTGATAAATTGAGCTTTAGAGCTGTTTTGAAACGTGGTAAGTGTTTGTGGGTGTTTAAGATTTATCCCTATGTATTTCCCTTTTATAGCACACAGCCTTCCTTACTGGGAGATTCCTTACTGGATTTGGGAGAATCCAAAATTATTTGTGTGACTTTTGTTAATCTTGTTTTTTTATTTTTACTTTTTTATTTGACTAAGCAGAAAGAAGGTCTGTTACTACATTACAGCCTATATCCCAAAGTTATTCCACATGGTAATTGCTAGTAAGACAGACAGAAGTCTTCTATTTTTTAGAATATTGGTGTTATAGACTGTGCAGGATTTAAACTTGTTCTTCATTGGTGTGTCTTGGAACTTGTAGCAAATTGCAGTTGTTTATTAAGGTTGCGTGACATATGGCAAGCCAGAACTAGGGCAATAACAGCCTATTTTATTTGTTTAAATCTTAAGCCCTTTGACTTTCATTTTCTGATTAACTATGATAAGTCAAGATAGGAGTCGAGGTCAAAGTAAAAAGTTGTTCCTCTTGCTTTTCTTTGGCTTCTGCTCACCTAAATAAATAACTTCTGAACTGCATGCAGGGTGGATTGGTGTGTTGCTCACCACAGGGGATTGAATCAAAAATAAACCTCTTGCTAAACAAAAACTGGTTTTGCGAGGAGCCTCAGCAGCAGCTGCGTGACTCCATGATCCTTTCTTAGTGCATTGGGAAATTTGATAGAGCAGACTTTGCCTTATTCAGGCATTGCACAACTGTGACTCATATTTTCATTTGTATTCTTTATTTATCTATTGTATTTACTGGAAGCAAAGCATTTTTGTCTGAAGTGTGGAAGTTGCAGATCCTGGCTGGCAGAAGACAGCTAGAAGTAGCTACAGCACACAGAGAAGAGACATTATTCCAGGATGCTGCAGGCTCTTGGAGATGTGGAGCAACTGCCTACGTTTCCCTGTTTGCTCTGTTGGGTGGGGACTGATTTAACAAGAAGAATAAGCAAACCGTGGTCTGCTCTGCTTTGTGCAGTACTGCTAAGTGCTGTTCCCATCTCTGCATGGGATTGTAAAAAACTTAAGCTTGCCTTTCCATTCCCCTGTGGTTTTCAGAAAAAAAGGAAAAAATATGTTTACAAGGGTGCTGAAAACAGTTGATTTGTCTTTCATGCATTATTAATCTTTGCAATGGACTGGGATAATGATTTACCAAACAGAAACAGTTTTGGAAATAACAAGACCAACCTGTACAGTAGCAACTTTCTTTTCTTTATATAAAACAGTATTCTAGTTTTTTTTCCTCCCAAGGTCTAAAAATATCTCCAGATTTTAGGCAACTTGGCATCCAAATATCTTGAGTTAAAAATAATACATATTTTGACTCCTCCTTTCAATTATCAGCAAGCATTATGAATCTGTTGTTTATATGTACATTAAAAGAATTGGAGAAAGTTTTTTTGTTTGTTTGTTCGTTTAATCTTCCATTTGGAAGTCAGTCCTGCTCCCTTTCTGCTTTCAGAGAAGAAAAATTGGACAGGAGTTGCAATAGGTCATGTTCTGAGGATTGCATCAAGATGCACTTGGCTTTTAAGGAAAGTCATGTTGACACGGTGCAGACTTCAGCAAGATGAGAGAGTTTTTGCCAGGTTGTTGCTCAATAACATCACAAACTCTTTTTACCAGCTCTTGGGGCTGTTAAGATTTTGTCCACTCCAGGGCATTTGCTGAGGGTTTATCTTACCTAAGATGAAAGAAAACTATAAGGGCCCTTTACACATGGCTTGATTAAAAATAGCAAGAATGAGTACTGCATCTCTGAAGCCTTCTGTTTAGCAGTTAAGCATCTCTCCTTTGCTTGTTCGTGTTGTTTAAACTGACATGTTGTCATTGCCTCTTGTATTCATTACACAGGTATTTTGTCACTCATCTCTCAAAGAGCAGTTTGTCTTTTCTTACAACCCAGTTAATCCATTCTGAAAATTACTCTAGAATACAATTTACAGTTATTTAAAACAAATCTATTCATACAGCAACACTTTAAAATGCTTCTAACTATTGCTTTCCCGTTCAGCCATTCAAAACTATTTTAGTTTGCAAAGGGACAGAATTCCAAAGATTGTCTAACTCAATTTCTTTTTCATGCATGAAAAGGAAAATGCCAAGGAAAATTAAATGGTTTTGTAATCCTCAAAAACCGAAGGGATTATATTTGCCTCCTATTTTCTCTTTCGTAGAAATGTAATGCTAAAAATATTTTTTTTAACTGTAGCAAGAAGAGCCACTTGTTAATGTAAAGTTCAACAGAATGAAGTTTTGTGCTTATAAAAAAGATTTACTCTGGTTAGTTCATAGCTAAATATTTGGATTTTCAATTAAATAGGCATATTGAAAAGCAATGCACATTTAAGCAGAAGCATGATGAGCTTTTACAGATGTCTGTAGACCTTTTTCTTCAGTTATTTAGAGTAAAATCTTTCCTTTTTTTTTTGTCTGCGTACAGTTTTGGAGATTTAGGTAATTATATCCTTTTTTTAAATGAGGACTGTAGCAGAACTAACTTTTCAAGCTTCCAAGAGCGGAACTGGAAAGTAACCGAAATGCTTTTAAACTCACTTAGTGGCTTGTGTAGTAATTCCCTTGTACTTATTCTGGTAGCCAGGTTTCTAAATCCCAATCTCACAGCCATAGAAAGTGTTTAGTCCCATTATTATGGTGTTCAGGCTCCTTTTTTTAATTAATTTTTTTTAGGGGCTGTTGCTACAGCCAGGCTGATACCCCTCAAGTCTATTTTTTTGATGCTGTTGTTTTGCATTAGAACTTTATGCCAATTATATGTATGTATAGTTTGTCTTGCATTCTTGGATGTGTAGCTAGCAGAGGTAATCACCAATGAGATGTCTTTATTGCCTGTTTGCAGACTGTATCTGGTCAAGGAGCATGGTACATTTGGGTAGTACAATCAGTACTACCCAAAACTGGGTAGTTTTATCATAGCATTAAATGAGCTGAGAAAATTATTGCTTTGTACTGTGAAAATTCCACTATAACTATGTGTTTACTTCTCTGTGGTATAAGTGTATGTGTAATTTAGCACTGAGTATTTATTTGTCATAGTTTCAATGCCCAAGGCAGGAAAATCAAATGTAACAAATGGCTTTCCTTGATATTTCATATTAACAAAACTTTTGGCTTTTGGAGGGGGCTATAGTTTGAGGTCAAGGAAAAGGGTAATTGTGGTTTTGAGTGTATATTAGTGTAAAATCGATGCATTCAAATCTGATGTCACTGCTCTGTTTCCTTTCATGGCACCAGCTTAGCTATTTACCTCCGTCTGCCACCTCATCACTGTGAGATGGTAGTAGCCAATATCCGAGCTTCCACCAAGAGCTATTCTCTAATTCTGATGTAAGGTTCATGTGTCTATCTCAACTACCTACTGCAGAAGGACGGATTTACATGTGTCTTTTTTTTTTTTTTAATTTTTAATGCCAACTACTTGCAGCTTCTATCTGGGAAACAAGTTGGAAACACGGGAACTGCATATTCGGAAATAAAATTAGCAGTAATGGAATACTTGTGCATTCAGCTACAGCTGGACTAGCAGGTTTGGTCACGCAGGGTGTGAAGGGGACGTGAGCTCCTGTCGCTGGCCCTAGAGGAGGCAGATGTGGGAGTTGAACAGGAAACAGCAACGGGGCTGATCCTGTCCCTTCAGGATCTGCGTGACTTCTGCTCCGTGAGCTATGAAGTGATGCCCTTTTCTCATTTTCTTGTTTGTTCTGAGTGAATACATGAAGAATGCAGAATTTAAACATTTAAAAATGGTTTAAAAACAAAACAGAAAAACTCTGTATACTGAGCTAGTTTAGGTTATTAACTTAGTGAAGTTGGAAAAAAGTAGAGGAGAGAGTTTACCTACAGGCCAGTTAACAAATGGATGGACTGTGTTCGGTGTCTGGCCTGAAGTAAGTTAGAAGAACACCTGCTACCTGAAGAATGTGCTTGGCACATATAGATGGGGTCTGAAGCACAGTGAGTGCAGCAAGAAGCATGTGCAGGGGCACTTTATTCGGATTTTAAAATATTTTAATCCTGTACAGCTTTGCTCATTTCATTTAGTGTGCACATTGTCCTCACAGCATGAGGTCCCCTTTCTCAGCCTCTTCTGAGACTTGCTGTTAGTCCTTGTACCTCTCTGGTGAGGAAGCAGCTGGGGCTGTAGGTTTGCAGTGTCCCTCAGTCACTGAGAGAAATGATGCTGCTTACTAATGCCCCTGTATTATCTGTCTTGTGAGGCCGTGCACAATCTGAATTAAAGCGCTAATATAGATTAGAGTTAATACAGGTTAGAGGGCTCTGCAGTTTAGTGGACACTCGTGTCCATCCAGTGGAAGGAGTTTGTGCTGGGGCAGGAACGTGCGGCTGCGTTGGGAAGGGTCTGCGTGCAGGGGTGTTTTCATAGCAGCAGCAGATGCTGCTGCTTCTAAGCGTCAGTGCACCTGCAATGCTAAAGTCAGTGACTTGACCGAGGCAGAACAGGAAGCTGGTGTCTGAGCCACAACAAAAACCCGTGAATTTTGGAGTTAGTGCTGTGCTCAAAACATGAATTCAGCTGAAGCTCACAGGAGCTGGAGGCGGCTCATGTGCTTTTCTTTAGTTAAAGTAGCTAATTAGTTAAAAGCACACGCCTGTCTTGTAACCCTGCCAAGGAAAGACGCTGGCAAAACCTCTTCACTCAGTAAATGAAGCTTTTTCCAGTGACTTATAACCATTTAAACATTTTAAGTAGTTGATCTGCTAGGATGGGCTGTAGACTTTGTCAAGTCTAGTGATCGCTAAATGTTCCCCCCACACACACAGCATTCCAAGAAGCACCTTGGAGACTTTGAGACTGTCTCCTTCTCAAAGATGTCAACATTACTTTTGAAAATGGATCGTGAATGTCTGTGGGCAAATTAATCTTGACCATTTTCTTCAAGAATTCATATCCTGTTCAGCTTTTGTGGAGATAAAACAGATCTGTCACTAGGAAGTTAAGGAGATCACGTGACTGATGCTGCTGGCTGCTGAAACTTTCTGAGTGTGTTTAGTGTTTATATGTCTGTTCATTTTTGCATTTCAGAAATATGGCTACACACACCTTTCTGCTGGTGACCTCCTTCGAGACGAACGAAAAAGGCCAGGCTCACAGTATGGAGAACTCATTGAGAACTACATTAAGGAGGGTGAAATTGTACCGGTGGAAATAACAATCAGCTTGTTGAAGAGGGTAAGGAGAGGGCAAATCCCTTGCTCCTTTACTGTTGTGGACTAAGCAATAAAGGAGTGGGCATGTTCTGAAAGTGCTGCCTGCCCTGCCACGTGAGTAGGATGAAACAACAGACATGTAGGTGCTTATCACCTGTTCTGCTTCTCCCATGCTTATCACTTGCTGGGAAGCAACTAGTAGGTGATGATATTTGAGAACAGAACTTTCTAAAAAGATTTTTTTTCTAGGGAAATGAGCCAATGCACATGTTCTTGTGTAGCTCTATATTTCTTATTTCCCTCAACTAGTTTTTGAACCTGTTGGTTAGTTCATCTGTGTTTGATAAAAGACTAGTGGCCTTACAGGTATTAAGTTTCTGTAAGTTTAATCAAACTGGGTGGCCAGATAGAAAGGAAGAACATCTGCTAATATTCCCTCCAAAGGAATAGCTCGGCCTTTATCCTTATTAGATGTCCAAATCTCTGCCAGAATATCTCTCTTGAGGCTGGAGGAACTTCTATTGCTCATGGAACTTAACTCTAGGCCAGGGACACACTGGCACTTTCTGTTTTGTAAAAACACATTTCAGTATCCTGAGGAACATAAATTTTTAAAGCTAGGGTTGTGTGTGTCATCAAATTTAAGCCATGTAAAGTAACAAATTCAGTTTGAAAGAAGTCTGTATTAGTACATCAGTAAAATAATTAAAATTCCTTGAAGACAACAGTTTTCTAATTTGTTTGTTTGGTTTTTAATTTGCAATAATTTCCTCATAAGTTTCCTAGCTTGCTGTTTGAACATTTTTGGGGTAACTTAATCAGTAGAAAAATAGGTTTATGTGCAAGAGACCCTGAATTGAATTATCTTCATCAGGCTATGGATCAAACAATGGCTGCCAATTCCCAAAAGAACAAGTTCTTGATTGATGGATTTCCCAGAAATGAGGATAATCTTCAAGGCTGGAATAAAACCATGGACGGAAAAGCAGATGTTTCTTTTGTTCTCTTTTTTGACTGTGACAATGAGGTAATGAATTGTGATGTTCTGTAACTTCCTTACTTGCTATGTTGTGAGACTCATTCAAGGAGAACAATAAAACTGATTTTTTTAGTGTTAATGGGCTAGTGTAAGAGTAGGAGAAAAACTTAGGTCTGCGAGTTTCAAGGATTTTTGACACTGTTTTTCGGGAGATGAAAAACTGTGTGTTTTTGAAATAGCAAATTATTAATTACCCTTTTTGTACAAATAAATTGTATTGAACAGCTACTTCAAAGAGTTGTATTCTTATAAAAACTTTATTTTTATATATGCTTATGTATATATATTTAAACAATTATTTGGTTAATTTTCAGAAACCATTATATACTCTAACTATTTTTTCATGTGAAATCATTACCAATGTTCAATTCTGAAGTACTGATAGCATAAATCTTAATTTTCATAGTAGTGAGCTCTGCTAGAAAACATAATAATCAACATTTTACTCAGCAAGTCATTACAAGGGCATTTTGACAGTGATACATTATATTCATTTAACAAGTGCCATGATATGCGTTCCCTTTAAGTCATTGCCCTTGAGGGAAGGAAACTGATTCAAGAATCCCTAAACCTTAAACTGAATTTCTTCCTCTTACCCTTTGCCCCAGTTTCCTGAGTTAATTGGTAGTTTAAATATAGTTACAATTCATTTTTTATTTAGATATATTTTTAAAAAATGCAGCATCAAGTTATAACAGCTTAACTTCTAATAATTTGATATATAGCCTTACATGAATTCTTGGGCGAACGTCTGGTGATGGTTGTTTTAGGTGTTTTGATTTTTTTTTCCCTCCCCTCAAGCATATATTAGTGCTTTTTAGAAAGGCAGAACACATCTGTGAAAGTCAAGTGTTTCTCTTTTTTAAATGTCTCCAGTTGGACACCTAGTTACACCACAAAGCTTGAGATTTTGCTTTTATTTTTCCTGACCTCAATCATATTTTTGGAGGCTCAGTTATAGCTGGTGAATTGTAAAGCTATCCTCCTTTTTCTCTGGAAGAGTTTAGCTTTCTATATGAATTCAAAGTTATGTAAGTCAGATCTGTCCAGTATTTTATGTCCTGCTTATAAAACAGATCTTTCAAAAATATTATATTTCAGAGGTTTTGTTTGTGTTTTTAAGACTGCATGTTGTTATTTCTTGTGCTAATCCCTCTGGATTTCTTATCTTGTAGATATGTGTTGGTCGCTGTCTTGAAAGGGGGAAGAGCAGTGGTAGGAGTGATGATAATCGTGAGAGTCTGGAAAAGAGGTAAAACAAATACAATATTTCTTTTTTCCTTTTTTCCTGTTTTTCTTTTATTATGTAGTAATTTCCCCCTCCCCTTTACTTTCTCTAGAATTCATACATATCTGCAGTCTACAAAGCCTATAATAGACTTGTACGAGAGAATGGGGAAAGTCAGAAAAGTGGATGCCTCTAAATCTGTTGACGAGGTAAGTATATAATGCAAATTCATAATAGAGATTTCTCTTCTAGCTTGAATGTTTGAAGTAGAGAGACACTGAGATACAAATACATGCATCTGACTACAGATGTTCCTCAGAGTTGTTTATAGGTTGCTTATTATTTGGTCTGTAATTTAGAATTTAAAATAAAGTTTAATGAGTATTTTAAGTAAATCTAGAAGCAACTTGCATTGATGAACCTAAACTTTTATTAGTCCTAGAAATTCTAGAAATTCTTTGTGTGCTTGTTGTTAACTTTTTAGAATATATTTTTGAAGTGATGTTTTGTTTGAAAGGAATCCATTGGAGTTTGCTTACAGAGCACACATCGATGCATGTGGACAGACATGTAAGACATCTGAACACCTATGAAAATATTGGCAGTTCAGAGGCAAATCTGGATTTGATACCAATTCTGCTATTAAAAATTATGAATATTCTGAAAACCCATGCATATATATTTCCATCTCTATATAATAATTTAATATTGCAATATATATTATAGAGACATATGTATTATGTATAAAAATAGCATCAATTACTTTGTGTGCTGGTTTAACTGGACTTAATTGGTTACTTAATACTTCATAAAATTAACCAATCTTTTTCTCCTTTTAGGTGTTTGAAAATGTTGTACAAATTTTTGAAAAAGAAGGCTAGTTCCCAGCTTGAAGGTTCACCTTAAACCTGTGCTTGAATTTTGCTTGATAGCTGCTACTGCAGTCCACTCTTTGTAATTGTTTTAAAAGTTCTTTTATTTCACACATTCAGTGATGATTGGAAAAACAGTTAGAAATCAATTTGCTTTTCTAAATAGGAAATCATTTCTCCTGGCTATAGTAGACAAATTTAAGGGTTCTTCATTAATTTTAGTTCAGTTATTCACACAACAGAAACATTGGTGGTCAAAACATCTCTCTGAAGAGACTGCTTATCCTGTCACAGTTCTGTGCCTTTCGTGGGCAGCCCTTTTGCCATACACTTACTTTCTTTTTTTAGGATTGGGTAAACATCAGTGTTAAGCAATGAGGGACCTGTGTGTCCTTGTCCTTTGGGTGTTTGGACCAAATTTAGGAGATGCTCTTCTTCCAAGTATAATTTTGCCACTCATTTCCCAGTTACTCCCAAACTTGAATTCTGTGAATCGAACTACATTTAGTATGAGAATCTGTTTTAGCAGTTATCACAAAACTATTTATATGCTGTTTAGCAATAGGCATATGAAGTACTTCACAGAAAGTGGTGCTTTCTTACAATTCTGGGTTTAAACTGTCGTAAGCCCTCGAGTACCTGGATAACATGGCCCTGACCTCTTACTTGTCTTTGCAAAAGGATAAGAATATTATTTGAAAGTCAGGCCAATGTCTCTGTGCTCATTATTTGGGATAAGATAGTTACATTCTTAATTATAGCATGGTCTTTATGAGGTGGAACAACTGTTAAATAGTATGTAATAAACAATCTTCTGATTGTGTCTTTTGTAACCAGTGGAAAGCATTTTCTGTATTATTATTGAAATACTGTGTTGCTGAATACTCTGAAGTTTATTACCTGGAGAAATATTTTTATGGTTAAACATGTGAATTTGTTTCCCTAAAATTGTATAATTTTAATAGCTGTTTGTTTGAAAGGATATTGTAAATTATTGCACTTTTGTTAAGATGTGGTCAGCTGGGGGAAAATATCTGCATTAAAAAGTTCTGTAAACAGATCAGATCCTTCTTTACTGCATTCTCTTGAATAGGGAGGTACAGTCAGCATCAGTAGTTGAAACAAACAGTTTTTTAAATGTTTGCACAGTTGTGGAATAGTTCTGCTTTCTGCTTAAAACAACTGGTTTTCCCCATATGACTTGAATACTTGTCATAGGTCTGTGGCGGGCAAATCATGCATTCCTTGCACACCCTAAGTTAATTTTTCATTGAAGCAAACTGCAAGGTTTGAAGATGGGTATTTCAACTAGTTTTAGCAATAGGGTGGTTTTTGCTACATTAACTGACACTGTAATTAGTTTGCAATATGCTTATAGATGCTGTAAGCTACAGGGAAATGCAATTTGGAAATCTTGGGATTCAGCTTTTCTTTAAAATCCTGTTTAGATAAAGTCAGCTTGAATTAAGTCTAGCTTCTGATTGCCATCAGGCACGTTGGTCCTCATGCTGCGAGCCCATCCATGTAGGCAGGTTTGTATTTGCATCTTCTCATTTCACTGAGGGTCTTAGGTTTGTTGGACTGGGGAGGAGAGAGGATACAGAAGCAAAGAGAAAATGACCATATTTTTTTCCAGTCCAGCAGCGGTGGAAAAAATGTGCTGAGCACAAACACCACGTTTACTGCTGCAGAAAATAAGGACCATGGCTACTTCTGTTGGCTTGGGAGGCTGCTGCTTTCCCTTTATGAATTTCCCCTTAAGGATCATGGAATTTAATTCCTATTGTATAAATATACTGACATAGGATAGGATCCAGCGGAACTACACTTTTGATAGAAAGGTTAAAATCAGGATTTTTCCATAAAAACTTCAAACAGGATTCTCTACTCTTAGAGAGATATTTTCTTTTATTTCTGAAATACTGTGTTTTTTACAAGTTTTGCTCAGAATAGATGATCTCTTTTCTCATCATATTTTCTTCTGTGTATTTAAGTGCAGAAACCAAAAAGAAAAAAGAAAATGTTACAGCAAGCTTTTAGAAAAAAAAATTGGCAATATTGAATTTGGAGTGGATTGTACTGTGTCTGTGCAAAGATCAGATTTTTGTTTGTCATTTTATTTATTTAAGATGCCATTAAATGTAATGCCAATTTTTTCAAGTTGAACTTAGTGATTGAAATGAAGATTAAAGGTAATACACAAATGTGTTGTACCTGTTTCACAGCAAAATTGTACGAAGAATTTGAGAATATCGAATAAATTGTTTAGTGGCTTAATATGAGTGCTTGGTCTGCAATCATCTGTCACAAGGGATATTTTTATATAGAGAGAGATTGCATGTGTGTATTTGTAATTTTTAAAATGTGTGCTTTTCAGGTACTTTGGCTGCAAACTTATTTTTGGACATAGGTCATGATTCTGCCTCGAGGGACAAAAGTGTATTGGATGTTAGTGGAAGCAGCATTGGCATCGTGTAAGAGGCTTTCTAGAAAAGAAACTGAGAAATTGCCAGGCTTGTTTTAAAAGCCTTCACATTTGGCTCTAAAGATTTGTCACAAAATTGGCTGTTCATTCACATGTAGATTTCCAGTAAACAAAGTGTTGAACTTGAAATTTTATGCTGGAAAGAACTGCAGTGACGGGAAAAGCAGGGAAATTTCCGATAGGAAAGGTAACCTTCTGCTGGTAAAACTGTATATCCCGAAGCTGTCTTTTAAAAACCAGTGCTGAAACCTTACCCTGAGGGCTTGGAGCCTCCCAGGGAGCTGAGTTTTGAGGACAAAGCAGTGGTAGGAGCTAGTTTAGTCTGCCCCAAAAGTAGCTTTCCCATTCCCACAAGGGAGAGACTTGCATTGAGTCCCTGGCTGAAAGGTGCTGGTTTGGAGTGGGGATGTGGAGTGGACGGAGAGGAGGTGGGAGGCTTTACAGTGCAGAAGATCACAAGCCTGGAGTGGAGCGTTGCCTCAATGCAAGATACTCCCTGCTAGCAACATCTGCCCTTAATAAGAAAGGATGGTTCATGAGGGAATTCCAAGATCCTGTATAAAATGCCGTGTTTTCCAACACTGGAGTGCTGCCACCCGGGCTGAAGTGAGGAGAATGAGGAGAGTTGAATGGAAAAACCTCAGTTTGGATGCTGCCAACTGTTGTCTTGTTATGGTTAGGAAAGTTACAGCTTAGTGCAGCTTTGACGTGGTTTGAAGTTCAGTACTGCTTCTGTCCCTCCTGCGATGCAGATTTGTTTGAGCCTGTGACTACTCAGTCGTCTTGGCAGAAGCTGGAATAGGGGCTGTTCCTGCCAGATGAACCCAGCAGCACCTGGACAGTGGTCACCTGAGAGCATGATCCAAAGATCCTGGGAGTTAACAAATAGTAATGAAAACGGCAAGATAATGCGAAGATGGTTCATCTGATCAGGTAATGAGAGTGTAAGAAAAATAGTAAGACTTTTGATTTTGTAGATTGGTAGTTCTTGGGCTCCTTTTATCTGCACACCACTGTAGATTTTCCAATGGAGATGTAGGGTCATAGGTGAGTTTAATCTTACTGCTCTCATCTATTTTTCTAGGGTCATAGGTGAATTTAATCTTGCTGCTCTCATTTATTTTTCATGGATCACTTAGTTAAGATGGTATTTTTCTGCCTGTGGTCTATAGAGTATTTCTGTTGGTGACAACAGATGTCTCCACTGAGTCCTCTAATCCGCACAACTGAAGTATTTTCTCTCTCCTCTTAGTGTTTTGCCTTTTAATGTCTTTTCTTCACCTCTCCAGTCTACAGCAGCCCTTCAGAAGAGGGAAGGGGTGCTGTTACCAGTTAGTATATACCTTGCAAAAGAAACAAATTCTGAGTAGCATTAGCTGGAGGAATTGGAGCCTCCTCCTGTTTCTGCCAGTGAGCTTAATACCTTATGTGTTACAAAAGAGGCTTAAAGCACATTGTGCTAGTACTTGGCTGCTACTTTAACTATGGAAAATCTCCGTGTATGACAGCAGTACCTGTTGTCCTCTCTTTATATGAGTGAGATCAGCAGTGCGTGTCTTGTGTCAGCAGCAGTTGCATGAAAAAGCCTTGGTCGCGGGGCAGGAGCAGTGACCTGTTACGCTTTGGTGGGTGCAAGTGAGATGATTGAGGAGGGGGGGAAGATCATGAGTCAACTCTGCCTCATAAATCGGCCTTCAGCTTTAGATACCTGTCTCTCCTGCACAGCTATACTTGCATTTAGTCTGCTCATTCTTTCATGGTCATGCTGCTTAGAAAGCACTCGCTGCCTAGAAGTTGGCTGTATCCCCTTCTCGTCTCTGCCACCTTCAATTGCAGGGAGCTGTGGGAGCAGGAATTTGACTCCAGGGTAAAGCTGTAGAAACTAAACTGGGTAGATGAAGGCAAATTGAGTCATGCTTGTGAAGAGCTGGATGCACAGCTCATTCACTGTGGGCAGCACTGCCAGGCTGCTCTGTCATCCTGGCTTTTAATTGCATTCAAACACCAAAGCAGAAATTTTCTCTTTCCCCTCAAATGCTTGGCAGAAAGTTTGCTTTTGTCTAAAATACTCCTTAAGCACTGTGTGAACTGCTCAGTCCTAAACCAAATACCAGTGAGCTGGGCTTTTTCTTTCTAATTTACAAATAGAAGGGTTTGGTTTAGTTTCTTGTAATAGCTGCTGCTTTGAGACAACGCTTGGAAAATACAAGGCGCCAGCCCAGAAGATACCATCTGCTGTGTACTTGAGGGCTTTTTAGCACAATGCAAGTGTTGTCTTTATGCTAGGAAGTATCATGCTGCTGGGTTCTATGCAGCTACCAGAGTAAATGTGGTGTGTGGACGGGGTCCGTAATGGTTTTTCATGGAGCACATTGCTCGTTCTCTGTACACACAGCTAAACTACTTGTGTTCAACATATACATCCATTCAACGCCATGAGAAGTGAGGAGAGATTTTTGGAAGATTCTCGGTTGTGTCAAATCTCAGCTGTAAAGCTTTTTCTTTCTGGGGAGCCTTCAGGAACTACCAGGATCTAACAAGTCATCATTTGGAGGGTGTAATATGTAATGCACCTCCTTACTTATTGAGCATGGAGATATCTCTTCAGGATGCTATATGGAGTGTTACCCCTGTTGTTTTCTAAAGGGTA